AAGCAAGAGAAGAAGATGGAGTGCAAATAGCTGTGACTGGATTAACCCTCCTACCACACTCCTCCACTCTCAGTAGTCCCTAATTTAAGCAAGGGACATAAACAAGGTAAACACGCAATGCCCCCAGTTGAAAAAGCAAATAAGGCAGCACACATGCCCAAGAGATAAGGAGCATCCAAACACAAGATGGAAAAGCTGACTGAGAATACAAGCCCAGAAAATTATATGAAAGACACAAAATTTGATGACCTAACAGACAAAGGTTTTAGAATGACAATTTTAAGAAAGCTCAGTAAAATTTTAGAAGGACAGGCAAACACAGAAAGGCTAGTGCAGGATCTCCAGAAACAAATTCAGAGACAAAAATTATTAAAGTGATTGAAAATATATTTTAAAAAATGGCACTGAGATGAAAGCATACATAGAAAGAATATTAAATACACTTAAGCTAGGTGAAAGAGAATTTTGATAATAGAAGATACAGATAATACAAATGACCCATTTGGAAGAAGAAAAACAAGATTTACCAAAAATGAAGCTATACGAAATGTCAGACTCCATTAGAAGAGGAAAATTACAAAATACTGATAGAAGAAATCAATGAAAACCTATAAAAGTGGAGAGACATAGGTAGCCATGGATGGGAAGACTAAGTGTAATTAAAAACATCAATTCTCTGGCCCTCCCTGGTGGCGCAGCGGGTTAAAGCACAGCACTGAGAATCTAAAGCCTGCTTCCGCAGGAGTTCGATTCCCGCCTGCCCCGGAGGTGACCACGTGGTGTGGCAGACCTCTCCTGACCCGCCCGCTGCTCCCCTCAGCAGTGTACTTCGTCGATCTGCCTGTTCTGTTCCCCACTCTGTCTCTGGTGAAGCCTCTCGCCGCCCCTGAGCCTCTGGCCTGTACCCCAGTTCTGTATGCACAAATAAATAAATCTTTAAAAAAAAAAAAAAACATCAATTTTCACAAGAGGCAAGGATGACCCCCAGACTGACCAAAACCCCAGGCACAGCTGCATCCCGGAATGTAGTGCCAATGACCCACAGCCATCACCACCACACCCAAGAGAAAGGCACAGAAAGCAGAAGGTGCTGGAAATGCCAAGAGAAGTGTGTGCATTTTTGATAACTGTACTTTTGGTGACTGTATACTTTTAAATACTATTTTTGTCAAGTTTTTTTTTTTAAGATTTAGTTTTTATTTATTTATGCATACAGAACTGGAATACAGGCCGGAGGTGTAGGGACAGTGAGAGGATTCACCAGAGATTTGAGTGGGGAGCAGAACAGGCAAATTGACGAAGTACACTGCAGAGGACAGCACTGGGATGGTCAGGAGAGATTTGCCAGGCCATGTGGCTTACCTTTGGGCCGGGGATCGAACTCCCACTGAAGTGGCTATGACCAGCCTGAAGTGCTGAACTTTAACCCGCAGCGCCACCAGAAAGGGCCTATTTTTGTTAAGTTTTATTAAAATACATAATTTTGTTTATTTTAAAGCTGTGTTGTTAGCTCACGGAACACTTAATTGTCATTTGCAAAAGAAAATATGTCTCTTAATAGAATGTCTCCAAAGCTGGATTGATATGATATGGGTAGTGGGGAGAGGGAACCTTTCTCTTCTACTTTTGAGACTTCCTCTTGGTTCCCAGGAAGAGGGATTCCTTGAGGTTGACTCACATTATCTGCCTTGTATGGAAAAATTAAAATTCATTTCTGTGTCCTCCTCTTCTGCTGTCTTCAGCATAGACTTGACTTCCTTAAGCCCAGATAACATGTGGAGACCTGAATACAAAAACGTGGTTACCAGTATGACAGGCAAACTGGACTTGTCATTGAGATGACAGCCCTCAGAAAGCAGTGGTTCCTTTTTCAGATTGTGAATCTTTAGATCGATAAATCTGCCATTTTCATTTCATTATATGAAATTCAGGTTCAGCTTGTGAATAGTTGTTAAACAACATGCTAAATGTGAAATGTCAACATTTACTCTAAACTTTCCCTGTTCAGAACACCAAATGAACACTTCATTGGGTTTTATAGTGGCTTTCTGATTTTGGTAGGCCATTGAAAAAGGGTGTTAGAAAGTTGTTGTATACTGGTAATTGTTGCCCATATCCTGTCTGATATACCATAATTGTCTATAAAAAGCTGGATACAGTTTGGCTTGAGGAAAAAAAAATTTCTCCCCAACTTGATATATAGGTTTAATGCAGTTCCTGTTCTTATCCTAGTAGGTTTCTTTATAAATAAACACAAGGTTATTCTAATGTTTATATGGAAAGACCAAAGAATTAGAAAAACTAAAATTGGTTTGAAAACATTAAATTGGGAGTAATTACCTTACTTAATTATAAAACATTATATTGCCAAATTGTATTAACAGTGTTATAGGCACATAGATTAAGAAACAAAGGAGTGGATCTGGAAATAGCCTTATACAACTACCACCAACTGTTTTTTTTTTTTTTATTAAAAAGTTTATTTTTACATCATTTTGCACATTTTTTTTTCCATCTTGATTGTAATCGCCGCGGGTTTCCCATCACCAAATCACCCCTGTGCCACCACCATAGTCCCGTGCATTTCCCTCCCTCCCCCCAACCCCCGTTTTTGATCCCATTCCCCACTCCCACTCCACCCCCACAGAATGTCTCTGGTATATGGCTGTTCATTATTCTTGTTATTTTCTCGCCTGGTCCATTATACTCCTGCTATGAGTGAAACCATCCAGTATTTTTCTTTCTCTTTCTGGCTTATCTCACTAAGCATGATCTTTTCCAGCTCCATCCAAGTTGCTGCAAAAGACATGTGTTTCTCTTTTTTGGTTGCTGAGTAATATTCCATTGTATGTATGTACCACATCTTTCTAATCCAGTCATCTACTTTTGGGCATTTGGGCTGCTTCCATGTTTTTCCAATTGTAAATAAAGCAGCAATAAACATGGGGGTACAAGTATCTTTTTCAGTCAGTGTATTTGTGTCTTTTGGGTAGATACCTAGGAGTGGGATTGCTGGGTCGTAGGGAAGCTCCATGTTTAGCAGTTTCACCAACTGTTTTTTGACAAAATGACAGAAGCACTTCATTAGAGGAAGGATAGTCTTTTTTAATAAATGGTACTAAATCAAGTGGACATCTTTGTTGTTTAAGTCCTACATTTCTAGAGTAGGCGTTAAAATATACAAAGAACTCTTCAAAACTGACCATTATTTAAGAATCCAGTTAGAAAATCATTAACAGGCATGCATAGACAGTTCATTGAAGATATACACATGACAGAGACACAAAAAGATGTTTGACATCATTAGTCATGAGAGAAACACTAATTAAAGTCACTGTGCAGTATCACTGCATATCTATCAAAATGGCCCAAGTGACTAATGGTGATAATACTGCAGGCTGAATTGGCTATTGATAAATTGACCCCTCACAAATTGGTGGGAATTCAAAATAGAAAATAATTTGGAAGTTCCTTTCAAATCTAAAAATGGAATTAACGTGCCACACAGCATTTATCCTCTGGCATTTATCCAGAGAAATGAGGCCTTTTTCATGTAAGAACTTGAACTCAAATTTTCATAGCAGCTTTATTCATAATAGACCCAAACTGGAAACAACCCACATATCCTTCAAAGGATAAATGGCTTAACTATGGTGCATCCATGTTATACTATTTGGCAAAAAAAGGAATGAACTATTGACATGTGCAACAGCATGGATGTTTCTCAAGGGCATTATGCTGAGTAAAAATGCTGAACTCAAAAAATTAAAATGTAGGATTCCATTTATGTGACATTCTCAAATTGACAAAATTGTAGAGATGGAGAATAGATTGGTGGTTAACAGGGATTATAGGTGTTGCTGGAGTGTGATCACACAAGGGAAATTAGACAAGTGAAATCTTTATGATGGTGGAGTGGTTCTGTGTCTTGACTTTAGTAGTAGTTTGCATGAATCTACACATGATGTAAAAGTATATATACAGTTGTATCACTGTAAATATCCTGGCTTTGATACTGTGTTAGAATTATTTTAGAAATGACCATTTGGTGAAACTGGGTAAAGGGTACAAGTGGATCTCTACTATCCTTGCAACTCCCCATGAATCTAAAATGAAAAAGGTAATTTTTTTTTTATTTTAAAGAGAAGAGCACTCTAATGTATGCAGCTTTGGCATGAGGGGGACTGGACAGGATGAAGGCAGAGACAATAGTCTGGAAACTGATCAGATAAAAGATGATGAGAACTGAACCTCTATGGAATTTGTTGTGATGAAGAAAAGGATACAAATAGAGTCAAGGAATGAAAAGATAGTAAAATCAGCAGGACTTCAGAAATAGCCAAATGTACATGAGGTGAAGGAGAGGTCGGACTTTAGGATAACTCCCAAATTTCTATCTTGCCTGATTAATACCAGGTATCTTAAGTAAAAGAGACTTAGGAGCGTGAGGTACACTAGAAATAGACATAACTCGTGTTTTCCTTGTTTGTCATAAATTGAAATTTACGCTGTGTTTTGAGAATTTTGTTAATTTTCTTTTGTTGTTAGCCTAGTATATTTGCTTAAGAAATGAGCTCCAAAGTAATGTATGACATTGACCCTTGATTTCTTCATCTGCAAAATGAACACTATGCTTTGTGAAAATAGAATCATACTTCTGTCTCAGAACTGTTAATGAGGGGTAAATGAAATTTATATTTAGATGTAAATTACTTAATATATACCAAGCATCCAATAAGTTCTTATTACTCTTACTGTTACTATTGCTAACAATAAAAATTATAGCAACAACAACAAAATAATGAAATATCATGTATTCTATTAATGTAGCCAACTGTAGAAACCCTCAGATACTCTCTAGGGCATGTTTCTCTTTTCTTCTTCTTCTTTTTTTTTTTTAATAATATACTGGTTTATTTTTACATCATTTTGTGCCTTTTTGCATCTCAGTTGTAATCCCCCTGGGGGGCCCTGTGTGTCTTTTAATTTCTATTTTCCAGTTCCTTCAGTGATCCTTAAAGAGTGGTCTGCCTATAAAGGAAAGTCACCTCAAACCCCTGAGCTGGTATCTGCGCTGACATTTCGGGAATGGACTTGTCCAAACCTCAAGAAGCTCTGGCTTGGCAAAGCAGTTGAGGACAAGAACAGAAGGATGCGGGCCTTCCTGGCCTGTATGAAATCAGACACACCGAGTATGCTGAATCCAGCTAATATCCCTACCCATCTGCTGCTCATGTGCTGCGTGCTTCGGTAAGCATGTGGTATGGAGGTGGCAAGTTCATTTCTGTTTTACTAGTTTTAACATTTTCTTTCTTTGTGCATTTTTTCATCTTGCTTGTAATCACCATGGACTTCCCACCACCAGTTCACCCATCTGCCATCACCATAGACCCATGCGTACTTCCCATGCCAGTTTTGATCCTATTCCCCTCTCCACTCCTGTAAAATATCTCTGGTAAAACGTGTTCATTGTTTTTCGTTTTACTTTATTACAATTACTTTTTTTCCTCCATCCCTTACACTCCTGCTATGAGTGAAACCATCCACTGAAGGATGTTCTTTTTCTTTCTGGCTTATTTCACTAAGCATGATCCCTCCCCGCTCCACCCATGTTGCTGCAAAAGGCATGAGTTTGTCTTTTTTGATTGCTGAGTAATATTCCATTGTGTATATGTATGACAGCTCCTTGATCCAGTCATCAATTTTTGGGCATTTGGGTTGATTCCACACTTCCCTATTGTAAATAGAGTAGCAATGTACATAGGGGTGCAGGTGTCCTTTCGAATCAATTTTTTTGTGTGTTTATTTTATATCCTGCTACCTTTGGTACCTTAGCGTAGATACCTAGGAGTGGGATTGCTGGGTCATATGGAAGCTCCATTTTTTAACAGTTTGAAAAAGCTCCAAACAGCTTTCCATTTTGGTTGGCAAAAAAGGTGGTAAGAAGGACAAAGGAGATCATTTTATATTGATATGATGCACTAAATAATATAGCATGAAAAGGCTGCTAAGAATATATAATGAGGAAAACACATTCTCTTCAGTAAATAACATTGGGGAAAGTGAACTACTGTCTTATACCATACACAAAACTTAACTCAAAATCAATAAACATTTGGACTTTAAGGCCTGAAACTATAAAACTCCAAAAGAAAGCATAAGCAGCAAGCTCCTTGACACTAGGCTTTTTTTTTAATTATTAAAAAATTTTGATGCATTGTTGATATATAACACTTTATATGATTTAGAGTTTTGTCTTTACACTACCACCAAAGAACCAGTAATCTTCCATGATAAACCATTGAGCCCCTCCCTCCCAACCCTCCTTCTCAGATAGCTTTAATTCTGCAGTCAGATTTCTAGGATTTGTTTTGGTTTAGTTTTGTCTATTCCTTTGCTTTGTTTTTTTATACTCAGTACATGAGTGAAATCATCCAGTATTTGTTTCTTCTTTTGACTTAATTCATTTAGCATAATCTCCTCAAGTTCCATCTATGTTGTTGAAAATGATCTTCATCATTTTATAGAGCTGACCAGTAATCAGTTGTGAGAATACCATTTTTTTCTTCATACACTCATCTGTTATTGGTGCTGAATCTGTATATTATTTTGGGTAGATTGTCATTTCAGCAATGTTTATCTTCCAATCCATGAGCAAGGATTTTTATTTCTTCATGTCTTCCATCTCTCTTAACAGTATAGTTTAGTTTCTGTTGGACAGGCTTTTCATTTCATTTGTTAAATTATAACTGGATATTTAATTCTTTTTGTCACAGTTTTTTTTTTAAGATTTATTTATTTATTCATACAGAACTGGGGTACAGGCCAGAGATGTGGAGGGTGAGCGGATTCACCAGAGACAGAGTGGGGAGCAGAACAGGCAGATCAACGAAGTACACTGCTGAGAGGAGCAGCGGGCGGGTCAGGAGAGGTCTGCCACGCCATGTGGTCACCTCCAGGGCAGGCGGGAATCGAACTCATGCAGAAGTGGCTTCAGAGTCTCAGTGCTATGCTTTAACCCGCTGCACCACCAGGGAGGGCCCTTTTTTGTCACAGTTTTAAATGGAATTGTTTTTCTTTCTTTTCCAGTTCATTGCTTGCATATAGGTGTGAAACAAAATTTTTGTGTGTTGATATTTTGCCTGTCACATCACTATACTGGTTTATTGTTTCTAATAGGTTTTTAAATGAAGCCTTTAGGATGTTCTATATCTGTTATTATGTCATCTGCCAATCATGATGCTTTTACCTGTTTTCCAATCAGGATTCCTTTTACATCTTTCTCTTGTCTACTTGTTCTAGCTAGGACTTCCAGTACTACGTTGAATAGTAATGGGGAAAGTGGACAACTCTGTCTTGTACCAGATCTTCAAGGAAAAGCTTTCTTTTTTTTTCTACTGACTATGATGTTAGCTGTGCGGTTGACATATATGGCCTTTATTATGTTGAAGTATGTTCTTTCTAACTCCATTTTGTTAGTAGTTTTTCATCATAACTGGGGATTGGAATCTTATTAGATTGTTTCTTTGCTTCCATCAATATGGTCATATGATTTTTTATCTTTCTTTTGTTGATGTGGTAAATTATGTTGATTAATTTGTGTAGATTGAACCATACTTGTACCACTGAAATAAATTCTACATGGTCATGATGTTCATACATCCTTTTAATGTATTATTTTATTTGGTTTACTAAGATTTTGCTAAGAATTTTCACATCTGTGCTTATCAGGGAAATTGGTTTGAGGTTTTCATTTTTGTATACTGTCCTTCTCTGCTTTTTGGTACCAGGTTATGTACTTATAAAATGTGTTTGGAAGCTTCCCCTTTTCAATTATTTGTAAAAATTTGAGAGGGATAAGTATTAATTGTCTTTGAATATTTGGCAGAACTCATCAATGAAACCATCTTGTCCTAGGCTTTTGGTTTTGGGGGCAGTTTTGATTACTGTTTCAGTTTCCTTGCTTGTAATTGATCTGTTCAGGTTTTATATTTCTTCTTACTTGTCTTGAAAGGTTATATACTCATAAGAATTTGTCCATTTCTCTTACATTATCCAATTTATTGCCATAAAGATTTTCATGGTAATTTCTTATAATCTACAGCATTTCTAAGATGTCTCTTGTAACTTACCTCATTTCTGTTTATTAGAGGTTTTTTTAATATTTATTTATTTACACATACAGAACTGGGATACAGACCAGAGATGCGGGGGGGGGGGTGATTCACCAGAAGCAGAGTGGGGAGCAGAACAGGCAGATCTACTGAAATACAGTGCTGAGGGGAGCAGTGGGTGGGTTAGGAGAGGTCTGCCATGCCTTGTGGGTCACCTCTCTGGCCAGGGATCAAACTTGTGCTGCAGTGGCTTCATAGTGCCGTGCTTTTACCCTTTACGCCACCAGGGAGGGCCCTTATTAGAGTTTATGTCTTTTTTAATTAGTGACCTTAGCTAGAAGTTTGCCTTTTTTGTTTGTTTTTTTCAAAGAATGAACTGTAATTTTACTTACCTTGGATATATTTTTGTTTTATTTATGTCCATGCTAACTGTTACTGTCTCCTTTTTTTTTTAAAAGCTTTTGGTTCATTTGTTCATTTTTTTTCCCAGCTTCTTAAGGTGTAGGGTTAGATTATTGGAAATCTTTCCTGTTTCTTGACAAAAGCCTGTATTGCTATTTATGGCCTTGTTAGTACTACTTTTTATACATCCCATAGGTTCTGATAGTTCTAACATCAGTGCTGATAGAGAGTTTTTGGATTTGACCATAAAGTGAGACTACATTAAACAAAAGACCTTCTATACAGTAAAGGAAAGCATCCCAAAATGAAAAGTCAACTACTGAATGGTAGAAAACACTTACAAATCATATATCTGATAAGGAGGTATATTAATAATACAGGGAACTTCTACATTTCGATAACAAAAAAATTTTCAATTAAAAAATCGGCAAACGGGGCCCTCTCTGGTGGTGCAGCCCTGAGACGCTAAAGCCACTTCAGCATGAGTTCAATCCCCACCTCCCCTGGAGGTGACCACATGGCGCGGCAGACCTCTCCTGACCTGCCCGCTGCACCCCTCAGCAGTGTTCTTCGACGATCTGCCTGTTCTGCTCCCCACTCTGTCTCTGGTGAATCCTCTCACTACCCCTGCATGTCTGGCCTGTACCCCAGTTCTGTATGTACAAATAAATCTTTTTTAAAAAATCGGCAAATGATCTAAATAGACTTTTTTCAGCAAAAGTCTACAGATTGCCAACAGTTATATGTAAAGGTGCCCAATATTATCAGGGAAATGGAAATGAAAACCACCATGATATATCCCCTCACACACGTTTGAATGGTTATTATAAGAAGACTAGAAAATAACTGCTGGGGTCTCCCTGGTGGTGCAAGGGGTTAAAGCATAGCAGTGTGAGGTTATCTGCAACTACTGCAGCACAAGTTCGATCCCCAGCCAGGGAAGTGACCCACATGTTGCAGATGACCTCTCCTGTCTGGCCCGGTGCTCCCCCACCAGTATAATTAGTCAATCTGCCTTTTCTGCTCCCCATTCTGGTGAATCCTCTCACCTCCCATACCTCTTGTATGCATAAATGAAATTTTAAGAAAATAACAAGTGTTGGTGAGGATGTGTAGAAAAGGGAAAGGGAGCCTTATGCAGTGTTGGAAGCAGTACTTCAAAGTATTAAAAATAGAAGTACCATATGATCTAGCAATTCCATTTCTGCATATTTATCTGAAGAAGACTAAAACTCTGTTGTAAAGATATATACACCCCTATGTTTATTGCTGCATAGAAACAACTTATGTCCATTAATGGTTTGAATGGATAAAGAAGATAATGTATATATGTATATGTATGTATGTGTTTATGTGTATGTGTATATTATTTATATAAAAACACAAATACATAATAAAATATTATTCAGCCATAAAACAGAAGGAAATATTTCCATTTGTGAAAACATGGATGAACTTTAAGTATATAATGCTAATAAGTGAAATAAATCAGGCAAAGAGAAATATTGTATGATGGTACTTAAATGTAGAATGTTTTTTGAATATCATAACAGAATATGAATACAGAGAACTAATTAGTGGTTATAAGAAGTAAGGTTTAGAGCTTGGGTGAAATAAGTGGAGGCCAAAATATATAAACTAAAATAGCTCATGGGAAAGTAATTTGCAGCATTGGGATTAGAGTTAATAATATGGTATTATATGTTTGAAAGTTGTTAAGAGAATACTTTTTTCATCACAAGGGGGAAAATCTAACTATATGATCATGCATATAACTAGATTTATTGTGGTAATCATTTTGCAATATATACAGATATTAAATCATCATGTTGTGTACCTGAAGTTAACAAAATGTGTGAATTATTATCTAATTTTAAAAATAAAAATAGATTTTAAAGTATGAATGAATTTGCCTGTTGGAGAATAAGGGAAGAGAGTAGAAAGTATTCTAAGCAAAGGAAAGTTTCGTGTGACTCAAAAGGATTTCTCCTGGTAAGCCCAGTAATTCAGAAAGTAAGGGGCCTCCCTGGTAGCACAAGAGGTTAAGGCTCAGCACTATCAAGCTATCTTCAGCCACTGCAGCACAAGTTTGATTCCCCATCCAGGGAGATGGCCCACTTGAAGCAACAGACCTCTCCTGTCTCACCTGCTGCTCCCCTCAGCAATGTACGTTGTCACTCTGCCTGTTCTTCTCCCCACTCTGTCTTGTGAGCCCTCTCACACCCTGCACCTCTGGCCTGTACCCCAGTTCTTAAATGCATAAATCTTTTAAAATTTTAGAATTTAGGTTCTAAAGAAGCAGTAACAGTAACTACAGAACAGTAACTTTTTGATATGTCCTGCAATTCCAAAACCATACTGGATATTTTGATCTTTAAGAGTGAAAATCATAAGGCTACCTGTACTGGTGTGATCATTTCAGGTAAGGAATGGCAACTTAGAGATTTAGAACCAGGCTGTGGCTGCAGAGCACAGCCTTTTTCCAGTATACCACACCACCTCCTAGCTAGAGTTCCCAGGAACCGAACCCTTGATTTCAGTGCCAAGTTTCTGCAGTTTCAATAGCTCCGGTAATTATGCATGCTCATTACCTTGTGGACCTCAAAGGAGCTAAGGTCATAATCTTTGTAGTGATGTATTTATATTTTTTCGATTTCTTTTCCTTTTTCTGCATTCTAGCTGTCTATAGCAATAAGCATTTCAATTCATGGGATTCAGTTAAAATACTCATCAATAAGTATTCATTTAATTAGTGGCTTATTCATTTAATTAGTGGCTTTTCTATTTGGAGAAATGACACTATAATCTAGCCATCCAACCAAAGCAGAATTCTAGGAAACAGACTCTTCCCTTCTGTACCCCTTTTCTATAAAACCCATAACCAAATCCTGTGAATTTATTTCCTTAATACTCTTCTCTTCTTATCCTCTCCAACCTTTGAACCACTTCCCTTGTTTAGACCAATTTCCAATAAGTTGCTGCAGTTACTTCCCAAATGCTATCCATGTCTCTTACCCTCTAAGACCAGTCAGTATTAAACCAGTTAATATCACTCTCCTGTAGATAATCCTGAAATGTCTTCCTATACGGCAAGTTCTCACTTAACACCATCAAAGTTTCTTGGAAACCATAACTTTAAAGTTCTCAAATTACATCATTTTTCAATATTGGCCAGGATTCCTTTTTTTCTCATCAATGTTATAATGAGACAACATTGAAAAAAAATATTATTTGTTCAGGACCTGCTGTACTTTCAGTATAAGGTTCAAATTCCTTAGTAATATTTTTTGATACTCTTTGTGATCTGGCCTACTTTCTAATTTTGTCCCCTGTCACTACAAACATACTTAGCTCCAGCAATATGTAGCCTAGTATATCATGCTGAACCCCATACCTCGCATTTACTGTTATCTCATTCTTCAACCTACTGCTCCTTTCCTTTAGTCTCACCAATTCTACATTCCCCTTGAAACTTCTCTCCTCTGGACCTATTTTTCAGGATATCCTCCCTTATTCTTCTAGTGGTAGCCCTCTTCTGTGCTTTGTAGCACCCTGTACATTCTTTTGTTTTGGTACTTGTCATTGTTAATATACATGCCTGTCTCCTCTGCCACCCAGTCTGCTAGTAATCAAAAACAGAGACTTACTTTTATTCCATTGGAATTGCCATAGTCTGGCCCATGATGGGTTCTTAGCCTAATAAATGTTATTGAAATGAATAGATGTGGTTTAATGATAATGCTTTTATTTTCTAGGTACATGATTCAGTGGCCAGGTGGCCGCATCTTGCACCGTCATGAGCTGGACACTTTCCTTGCCCAGGCAGTATCTACCCAGCTTTATGAACCTGATCAACTTCAAGAACTCAAGGTGATTTGATCCACCTTCATTTAATTCTTTAATGAATTCATAGCTTTACTTTAAGACTTCTTTTTTCAGAGCTGGAGAGAAGAGTAATTCTGCAGGTAAAAGTTTGATTTTATTTTCGCCAAATATTTATGTCTATTAATAAAACAGGTGCCTGCAACACTGCTCCTGTACTGATGGGTGAGAATGGATAGAAAAGATGGATATTGGGCAAGACAAATAAATCATGACCCATCGACTCTTGCTAGGTAAACTACAGGGCACTTATCCTGGTGTCCATTTGTCTCTGAGTAAATGTCCACCTTTCCCTTTTAATAATACCTATTGGGAAGTCCATGGTGATTACAACTGAGATGAAAAAATGCACAAAATGATGTAAAAGTAAACTATTTTATTATTAAAAATAATGCCTATTAGGTTTTAGAAGTCTAGAAAAGCATAAGAAGGAAATAAATCCACCAAATAACTGAAGGCATTAGAACATAGAGGGATGGTTTTGAAGCCAGGCTGCCTTGGATGTGAATCCTGGCTGCTTTGCTTTTTAGCTGTGTCATCTTAACCTGGTTGCCTAAACTTTCTAGCTTCAGTTTCCTTACTTTTAGGATTATGAATATATTAATTATTTTATGCAAAACACTTAGAATATTGCCTCGCATAATTTCATGCACACAACAATTAATACATATTAGCTATTACTACACCTTTTCCTAATTTCAGTAGGCATGTTCCTTTGAGGACCTAGAGTAAGCTAGAAGGTCAAATCCAAAAAGACTTAAAAACTCTTTAATTTTAATTTTGGTCAACTAAGGGAAAGACAAAACAGTCTAAGGCAAAGTGTGTAGTTCCTTTTTACAATAAATATTGTATTATTCCATCCTAAGCAGTTACTGACTCCAAAACGCCCATAGAAGGAACCTTACAAGTAGTTCCCCTTTTCCTGTTAAAGCCATCTAACCCCCCACCTTGAGATAACCACTGTGAATATTTTGTTTTTTTTTCTAGTCTCTTGTGCATTTTTTACTTAGTTGAAATACATATTTATATGTTGTGTTTTTTTCTTAACATAGCACATATTTTCTGTCTTAAAATATTTTACTCACTTTTATCATATAGGTGTATCATTTAACTATGACAATGTTGGCCATTTAGTTTTGAGTCTTACCCTACTATATTAATGTTGTAATTCACCTCTTTATGCATAGAGTTTTATTTACAGCTCTACTTCCTCAGAATAGATTCTTAAGAGCAGAATTTCTGAGTCAACAAGTGGACATTTTCAAGATTCTTGATACATATTATTTGACTGTAATATACATTACTCATCAGCTTTAATGAGTGTGGCTATTTATTTCAGTGTATCCTCATCTGCATTGGTTTGATTTTGGTCTTTAGTTTTGAATTTTTTCTAATTTGACAGACTAAAAAATAGTATCCCATGTTGGTATCTTTTAAAAGTTTTATAGCTACTGTCTTTTTTTTTTTTTTAATAATGAGCATCTTTCATATATCTCAGGGAAATTTTTTCATAAAAGATACTTGGACTGTAAAATATTAAAAGACAACATGATCAAATTTAACTGAAATAATAGCATGACAGGTTTAAGATGAAATGTAATTGATCACAGTAACTTCTTAATAGTAGTTTTTCCTCTGTGGCGGTTTCAGATTGAGAAACTGGATGCCCGAGGGATCCAACTTGCTGCCCTTTTCATGAGTGGGGTCGATACAGCTCTATTTGCTAATGATGCCTGTGGCCAGCCAGTCCCGTGGGAACACTGCTGTCCCTGGATTTACTTCGATGGCAAACTGTTCCAGAGCAAGCTAATTAAAGCAGGCCGAGAGCGGGTATCCCTGATTGAGCTCTGTGATGGCCAGGTACCAACATGTTGGGCAGCTGCTATGCTAAGGGCCATTTCTGATGTATGGTGGGGATGAATTGACAGGGAGGGCAAAGTATCAGTGACACTGGGGAGAGAGGTAGCAAAATTGGGAAATCTTGTTTGACCTTAAGCTAACTTGGTCAATGATAGTCCCATGACACAGAATCTGAGGTGAACACATTATAAAAACGTGTTGGTAAGTTGATTTTTGTGCTCTTCAAGTTTTTATATTCCTGTCTTACTCTTCCCACAGAATAGTCAGATATACTGCATGTCTTTCCTCTTAATTTTAGAATTTCATTTCCCTTATTTACAAAAACTGTAAGTTACTTTTCAAAGTGATGACAATTCTTGTAAAGGAACTTTAGAAGAAAGTAAAGCAGAAAAAGACAGAGAAATGATAGAGAAAAAGCAGGTGTTTTTTTTTTTTCTTTTGAAACCCTGGGAAAGGTGAGGAAAGGAAAGAGCAAGGAATCCTTAATTCTTTATCTTTGGGGGCGAATTAACTATCTGGGTATTTTTAGAACAATTTGCCAACCCTGGACATTATACTCTACAGAGGTTAAGGTATTCTTGATCTTGGTTATTAAGGAGAATGTTAAAAGGCTTTTCATATATCAGTTTTGCTTTTCTTCGCTGACCTAGTTCTGTTACTTCCCCCTTAGAAAATGACCTAGCCTATTGTGTGCCATATAATAGACCATCAGTAAATATTTATTGTTATATTTTTTACTTGGCCTAATCAAGGAAGTTTTAAAATTTTAGTTTATGTGCCTTATAAGTTCTTAGTGAAACCTCATATGGTAGTTATGTGGTGTCATGTGGAGAGTGGGGACTTGATGACAGATAGACTTTCCTGAATGTGATACCTCAAACCATTTAACCCTAGACTTTGATTCTCTTAATGAAAATAGATTTGTAAGACTGCACCTAGAATGCCCAATACTGTGCCTGAAACATAGGAGAAGTTCAAAAAAAAAAAAAAAAGGCAGCTGCTGTTATTATTCTGTTCCTCATTTGAAGGCTGACTTGGCAACCAAAGTGGAAAAGATGAGACAGAGTATCCTTGAAGGAGTCAACATAAACCCTCCACCACCTTCTGCTCTACTTCCATCACCTACTTTTGTGCCTCCCATGGTGCCCTCCCTCTACCCTGTCTCACTTTATTCTAGAGCCCTGGGCTCATTACCACCTCCCCCTCATGGAAGGAGCCGGGGGTTTGCAGGTCAGTACCCAAGAATGAGGTATTTATCATCTTCAACTTATTTCATAATAGTCCATGAAGTGATTATTGTCTGTTACAGAAGCAGCAGTGTCACATATATCTCATCTGTAGTATGTTGTGATAGTTTGAAGAGCAGCTTAATAGATAGAGGTGTGTAGCCTCAGGAAGATGGTCCACTGACTTCCTAGGCTACTCTCCATAGAGATGGTAGCTGTTCCCTCAGAATTTGACTGTCACCAACCATACTCATGAACTCATACAGAAACCAGGAGCTACTTAATTCCTTTGTAAACTATAACTCCTATGAATGGGAACTTCATGTTTGCTGGTTCATTCACTCATTTCCCACAGCAGATGTACACAGGAGCTGCAGGAAAAGCAATGGGAAATGAACAGTGTTGGCAGATGACAGTAACCTGATAAACCCATTTTCACTCTAGAGAAAAACTTGGCACATTTCTAAAAACATAGAAAGAAATCAGTCATACTCGACATACTCTAGGAACTTGCAGTTTGGTGGACACACAACACACATAGACATTCACACTTGCATGCTGTGACTTAATGGTGACACCTGAGCTGTGGCTTATGTTAAAAAGTCATGCTTAGGTAGCTCAGATACTGATCCTGATCATTCAAATAGCCTGTCCCCTAGTAAAATAGGATTTTTAACAGAGACATTTTGACACAAAATTTTAAGATTCTGGGATTAGGTGAATGTGTCATTGCTATGGCTAGAGGCATTTATGCTCATACTTTAAAAATAATAAAGCTGGAAGTTGAAATTTGTCTTTCAGGGTCACAAAACTCAGTATGAATCTCTAGCCCAAGGCTGTGCTTAGATGAGCAGTGTGAAAACATGCCTGGCAACCCCTTGTCCAGTCAGGCAGTGATCAAGTGTTATAAACCAGGGAGTCAGCCATTCATCCTTGCAGCCATTCTTTGAAATTGACTTTACAGATAACTTCTCTCATTCTTTGCCTGATAATTTTATTGTGCCTCAGAAAACAGCCTTAATTAAGGCCACATTATTAGGAGGGCCTCAACATTGCCCCTATTCTAGTGATGCTTAGTCTCCAGTTACTGATAGTTTCTGAGGAGCCTCCAGCCTCTTGAAAAGTCACAATCAGATCCCCAAGTGTATGTCTTTCATGTCCTCTTAGGAAATGTTGACATCTTAGTTTCTTAGGCTCTTACTTTATATAAATGAAGAGCTCTTTACCAGCATTCTACTTAATGAGTAAAGGGTTTTTCACTGAGTTTTTTCCATAAATTAAAATCAAAGGTTTACTTCATACTCTGTGAAGCCTTCTTTTGGTGCCAAATCACACCTCACAAACTCAACACATAGTTGTAATATGCTGTTTTTTTAATAAGTGAAGATTTATTTATTTATGCATACAAAACTGGGGCCCAAGCCAGAGGTGCAGGGGTGATAAGAGGCTTCACCAGAGACAGTGAGGAGCAGAATAGGCAGATCCACGAAGTACATTGCTGAGGGGAGGAGCAGGCGGGTCAAGAGAGGTCTGCCGGGTCATGCGGATCACCTCCGGGGCTGGGGATTGAACTTGCACTGAAACGGCTACAGTTAGCTTGCAGTGCTGCACCCTTACCCACTGCGCCACCAGGGAAGGCCACAATATGCTGTTTTAAGGAGCTGTCTCATCTTGAATTGGTGCTGGTTTTCAACTGTTGATGTTCCTACCTTATAAATGACTTTTAGTTTAAATTTGTTATTTTGAATTTAGTTTGGTTGATTGATCGTCCAGTGTATAATGATACATATTTAAATCAAATGTAGTTTTGACCTCTGGTTTTCCAATAATTAGATTTTAAGACATTTGTTCTCTTAACAAATATTATATACCTACTATGTGACAAGCTCTGTAGTTGGAAAATAAATCATCTACAACTCCCCTGTTATAGTCAATATGTACAAATCTTCGCAAACACATAAAGTTGCTTCCACATTGATTCTTGGTTGTCATCACAGTCTTTTTAGCATACACAGAGAAATTGAAATAAGTCAATAGGTTGACTATCGGATCTTGTGTTCCACTTCTTATCATACTTTGCAGTTGTCATTCATTATTGCCTTTCTTCCTCTCTTTGCAGGTTTCCACCCAATCCCACCCCAGGGAGGAAAGCTGGAGATAGCTGGAATGGTTGTAGGCCAGTGGGCTGGCAGCAGACCCTCCAGGGGCCGAGGATCCTTTGGCATGCAAGTGGTTTCTGTCGGTGGGCCAGGAAAAGGGTATGTATTTAAATAGGTTGGTATGAGGTAGTGTCAATCAAGGTGCCCTTGGGGGAAATCCATCTATTGAATCCTTCTATAAAGGTAAGAGGCATTAATGAACTTTTCCACACATAAGCCAGTTTTCACTTTAGTTAAAGCAGACATACTAAATGCTCTGTCTCAATGAGAAAGTTTTTGGCATTGAGGAAGACATGGGATACAAAACAGTTCAGTATGCTATAGAAATGCTATAGAATAAGATAGTAGTTTATACTGTAATACAGAGGAGGGGCATCTAACTTAAGAAATCAAACTTTTTAGAGGAGGTGAACAGTGAAAAACAGGGGTAAAGGCTTTATATGTTCCTCATCATCACTTTTTCCCCCACTTTCTAAGGCATGGAAAAGAACAGACTGGTAGAGGATCCAAAGGACATAAGAAAGGAAATAAACAAGTAAGCACCTTTTTGAGATATCTAGCTTTTATATGATACCTCTTGTCTTTTCAGATAAATTTCAAGAGATCAGATCATGCATGAAAACCTGAGCTTATAGGAAAGCTTCTCCCAACATTTGATTTCATTCCCTGCTCTCTAATGGTCTGTTAAGTGTTAGCCTGCACAGGCTTCTCCCACAGGGCTGTAGAGTATTACTGTTTTTCCTGAGTAAGGCCACAAGATAAATAACAATGGCTGTGTACTGATGACTCTACCTAGCATGGTATATGCTACATGAAGCTATAAAGAGGCCAAAGTGAGGTTAACAATGAGATTTCCAGTCTTAGCTTCTGGGGAGCTACTAGAGGAGCTTAGAAAATTAGATTTTTGCTTTTCCTGAATATGGGGGGTGGAGGGGAAATACTGCCATTCTACTTATTCTTAATGACTCAGGTTGGTCTTAAATTTGCTTCTAATCTGTACCTTGTAATATATCACAGTTCTCCCTGTCATTAGACACTTTCCATATCCCCAAATATGACAGCCTGTTTTTATTGTCATCCAAAATTTTATATTAGACTTTAAGCACTGGGTTCGTCATAATATAAAAGCTACCATTTCTTGAGTGCCCACTTTCTACCACATCTCTACAAGACATTTTTTTTAAGATTTATTTATTTATTCATACAGAACTGGGGTACAGGCCAGAGATGCGGAGGGTGAGAGAATTCACCAGAGATAGAGTGGGGAGCAGAACAGGCAGATCGACGAAGTACACTGCTGAGGGGAGCAGTGGGTGGGCCAGGAGAGGTCTGCCACGCCATGTGGTTACCTCCCGGGCAGGTGGGGATCAAACTCATGCAGAAGTGGCTTAAGCTTCTTAGTGCAGTGCTCTAACCCACTGTGCCACCAGGGAGGGCCACTACAAGACATTTTTAAGAGACTTTAACCCTCATGAAATTCACTGACTAGACCACACTGCAAGACAGCTGTGTTATTAGTCCTCATTCCCAAATCAACTCTCCTGCATCTGTTTACCTCCATTGTCAAATGTTTTGTCAAAGAATACAGATTTGCTTCAGTGTTATTTTGAGCTAAAAATGGAACTAGAATAGATAAGTCCCCCACACAAAATGTTTGTAATATACTCCAAAGGCAATGAGCAATAACTTTGGGATTTTTCCCAAAACTACTCATCTGTTTCCAGAAGCTGCTTGGTAAAGGGGCTTACACCTAGAAGGAAAACTGGTAACCAGATAGATACCCATAAGGTAGTATACCCTTGGGAAATCATCATTTTTTTAGGGTCTGACCATTAAGCAATCTGAGAAATCTGACTTTTGTGGTACAGTTAGGGTGGGTCCATCTCTCAGTGATGAACTCAAATTAACCGAGATCACAGAAATAGCTATGTGGGAGGTGAGGAAAGAGAAGGGAGGAAGTGAAAGATAAAGTACTGATTTACAGTGAGAAGAAATAATTATATTATACACTCTTTCCTAGGCGCACTTAAAAATTCATGTGAGGTATTTATTGTTTCCTATTTAAACAGGACTAAGCTAAGGCTCAGGGGGATGAAGCATCTTACCAAATATATCTATCAAATCAACATCAAAAATGACATTCCTGTCTTAGTTGATTGTATCCAAAGTCCTATGTTAGATAAGCTTCAGACCTAGGTCTGGCTGATTCTAGTACAAATGCTCTTATCCATACTAGAAGAGGTTTCTTTCTCCAACAATAAGCTGAAGGAGAGGTCACCATATCAGAAATTTGCTTGGAGACAAAATCATGTTCCCAAGAATTTTTTGAGTTCTTGCTGTATGCCAGGTATAAAATGTCCTAAGGGCTTTACATTGAGTGTCTCACTGAATCCTCACCGGAAACTATGAAATAGATACTATTATACTCTAGTTTATAGGTGAGGAAACTGGGAGATCAGCTTATGTTTCTCTTCACTAAGATTGCCAGGGCATTGATATCCACTCCAGAGACATAACCTAGTTAGGCAAATTCTCACGTTGACTTGATTTTTTGCTGAGCCTTCTTTCCTGGACAAACATGTTCATGATAGCCTTGTTTGTTGTCCTCTTATTGTTCAGTCACCCCAGTTATCTCTAGTTTCCCTGAATCTTGAGATTATTCTGAGATTACTAGAGCTTTGTATGTTCCTAAATTTTTTTTAAATTTATTTTTACATCATTCTTCATTTTGTGCATTTTTTCCATCTTGGTTATAATCCCTGTGAACTTCCCCAAATTCTTAAAGTCACTTATTTGTAATGTTTTTATTTCTTTGTTGACTTCCTCAGGTGATTAATTCCATCAGTTGTATGGAATTTTACTAGTTTCACCTTATTTCCAGGTTCTTGAGCAATAATTCACAGCAGGCTCCATGTTGTGCAGGCTTAAGCCACATGATCTAGCTTTAAATTGGGCTCTGCCACTTTCTAGTGCTGGAGTCTCAGACAAGTTATTTTCCCTCTCTGTGACCTGGTTCCCTATAAATGGAAAAACTGATACCTACCTCATAAGAGTTACTTCGAGTATCAAATGAAATGATAATATGTAAAGTGTTTAACAAGGGCCCTGACATAGGAAGTACTCAATAAAAATCACTTATTTATGATTGACCACAATTTCAACAGGTATTGGATTTCAGTTGTGTATTGCATCTTAGGAAGAACAAGATCTTTGGAGTCAAACAGGCTTGTGCAAGTTTAGGCATGCCAGTGACTTTGGACAAGTCATTTTATTATTTTGAGCCTTTTTTTGAGCGTCAGGACTGTCTCACAAGGTAATGAAGTTTATGTCATTAGTATTTCAGTACTAGTTACATTCCTGGGATTAAAAGAAAAATGGTGATTTTAATTATTAAAATGTCTATAGAATATTGCACGTAGACCTTATGGTTTCTTTTCCTTTCATTTAAATGTCCAGTTGACATCATTGGACACTATTACATAGCAGTTAAGAGAATAGGTTTTAGAGGCTAACTGTCTTGGATTGGAATTCTGGCCCCATCACTTTTTATCTGGGTGTCCTTGAACAGGTTACTTTAATCTTTTTGAGCCACAGCTTCCTCATCAGTAAACAGGGTATCATGTCTACCCTCTTAGGGTCCCTGTCAGTGTTAGAAAAATAATTGTAAAACTTTGTAAATATTTGCTGTATCTTGGTGTGTTGTTGATAATTGCCATTGGATTTCAATCAGATCTATCTGTTGCACCTATGTTCTCAGGATAGTATCAGAATGTAGTAGGCATTAACAAGCTTTGGGCTTTCTGTTGTTTTGAATACCAGAATCTGCTTCTACAAGCTAACTTATGAATATACTTGGAAAAGCCATCCAGTTTGGATTACCACTTCCACTGAATATCTTGGTTTTTGACAGGGCACTTCAGATGGAGTTTCTAAATCCCTGGAGGCTCATCAGAGCCGGTCCAGCTCACAAGTGAATGGAAACAATGGCACATTGATCAAAGAAGAGAAGAATGATCACCATCTTCTGGCTCTATCACAGTGTGCCTTATCCAGAGACAACAACATATGTAATAATGGTAACCGCTACTTCCCAGTGAAGAATGGGGAGAAGAGCCACTTTCAAGAGCAAAAGATAGGATCAGTGCCACAACAGAAAGAGGAATAATGAGCAGAAGATGACTTTACCAGATCAGGAAAAAAGGAAAACCTATACTTTTCTGATTCTAGGCCCAAGTTAGAGAACAAAAATGCTTACCCAAGATTTATCCAATGGGATGTTCCATTGTATCTTTCTTTTCCCCTTTCTTTTTCTGGGCCTCCAGGTTTGCTTCTAGGGAAGCTCTGGTCAAAGATGAATGGTAACAGGACTGGCTCCTATTCTTAAGTTGAATATGTAGTGCCAATATTCTCTTTACCTCTCCTGGAAGTCTAGTAAGGTAATGATTGTCAGAAATCAGGTGCCATCATATAAGGCCCTATAGAAAAGTTCTACCTTTGGTTTTCTGTCTTTCTCATGATATTCATTTACAAAAAGCCTGGGGGTGGTAGAAACAACTGTCTATAGCTTCTTGACTTGCTTTTTCTCTATTAATTAGTGGGGCCTTTATATATATAGTCATTATCTACCACCTTTTCACTTTTTCTTCCAACTCACTGACCCCAGGATTTTGCATCACCACCTCTAGCTCTGGCCCGACAATCAGATAAGTAGATGTTTTCAGAGAAGTGAGGTAGTGTTGGTTATTTTTATTTTTTATTTTATTTTATATACTTAAAACACACACACACAACACACAAACCCTGCCAATGGCCTTTGTATTGGGGGATTCAAGTGAGTCGGAAAAGTACTGGGCAGATTTTCCTGCCTCTAAACTAAAACGTGTTTGTAAAATAGAAGATGTGTTAACAGTTCACCGACTCCCTGCTCCCCACACTGTGGGTGGGAATCATAGGGTGGAAACCATTGTAATGAGACTAAGTATGAAAGGAAACTCAGAAGACGCCATGTGTGTGTGTCTCTGTGTATGTGTCTTTGTGTTTATGGGTGTGTGGATAGATGTAAATGCAAAAGTGTATATCTATATGCTTATGCATACCCTTTATATAGAGACAGATCTATTTATCTATACATGTTTTATATATATAAATATATTTGTATGTGTGTATACATACATACATGCATACATAACATGCTGATTTCCCAGAGGATTTACTGAGTTTCCTAGAAAAGCTTCCACTGCTATGGAGTGGTAGGTTTCAAAAGACCACACTTGAAAATTCTTAGTAAGTCACAGCTCATGAGAAGATGGGCTTCTCTAAAGCAGACAAAAAGTACTTTCCAGAGATTGCCTATTCAGAACAACAAACAGTTGTGTTGTCACAACCTTATCTTGAACAGAGCCCTAATATCCCATGTGGTAAAAACAAGCTGGAATGGGATTGGAAAGAGTTGGGCATTTCCTTATGAAGGTGCAGCCTCGTTTGAAGAGAGAAAGGGACTGGCAGGTGATAACCAGGACTTACAGCCAATTTGAAAGAAATCTCATTTGAACTCCAGGATCAAACTGCTCTCAGGCTAGAATTGATTGTCATAAATCCTAAAAGGAGAGGACTAGCATTGGAAAGAAGGTGTAGGGAAGTGTGAGGAAATCAACAATTTGATTTTACATTCCTAGATTGTTTTCATTTGTTCACTGACATTTTGCCTACTGGATCTTTTCATTTGCTTTGCAGAAACTTCAGAGGACTCTGGCCTAGGCCTTTAAAAAAAGGGGTATTCTGTAAAAGGTTCCAAATTCCCACTGAGGCCAGAATCTGCCCTAGACAAAAAAGCTGTTCTTCCTTTACTGGAGATACTCTTAAGATAACCTTGCATTTCTAGTTTTCCCCCTCTTCAGCTGGCTAAGTATAGGGGGTGGGAACATGTCTTACAATAGATTATCATTGTGTCTCCATTTAGAAATGAGACTGATAGTCTCCATATTTTGGGCTTTGTGACATTCTTGCCCAAGGAGTACCATTTCTAAAAGGAATACAACTGACTAGACTTCTACTGGGTTTTCTCTTCTTTTTGTAAAACCCATGCATCTTAACCCACAATTTGCAAGGGAAGGGAGCCCTAGAATGCCTCTTCCCCTGCCCAGACACTTCTTACCTAAACCAAAGCAGGCTAACAGGAGTGCACACCTCACTAGATATAACCAGGAACAGAGTGTATTGAAAAACCTCCTCTTTGGAATCAGCTCCCTAATTTAGTGCCCCCTCTTCTTGGACCTCCTAACCTTGCACAACATCATAAAGGTTAGGTCTTCTGTATCCAGCCTGAGAGATTTACTAGTGAACTTAGATGGCTTGGAAATTTCTTTTTGGAGTCAAAGAGGGAGGAATACTTTCAGAGCTCTAAGAGTAGCCAGAATTACTGAGCTGTATTAAAGTCAGTGTGTGTGTGCGCGTGGGGGGGGGGGTGGTAGTCTCCATTTTCTGACAGGAAGTATTTGGAGTTATATGGGAAGGTATTTTCTTTAGTTGCTATTTCTGTGCATCTTAAATCTCTGACACAATTAAATGACAGTATTGTTAACTCTTGCAGCATTAAGATTTCTTATTTTTAGGCATTCACTGTGAGAAGTAAAATTGCTGCTTTGACAGGGATGATTCCAGTTTGCCAAAAGGCTTGCTTTTCTCCCACACATCTTCACTCTCTTAGCCTGGCCCAAGGTGAAACTAGTGGCCTACTTCCAACCTTGATTTTTATGTGAATTTGGGGTTTGGAAGGTTTCAAGAAAAGAGCTATAAAGGGCCATATTCCTATAATTAATTAGTCTGCCAAAATGCTCAATTAGAAACCAAATTGGGGGAGGCAGCTCTGATCTTTGCTGTGACTTAAAGAGAGTGTCATTGGTCACTGGAGTTTCCATTTCTGACTATAATGTGACCTTTCTTCAACAAAGTCACATAGGAATCCCTAGATAAGGACCCTTTTCTTGTAGGACCACAAGCAAAAGCACCTTTATGTTGACACTGATCCCCAAAGACTTGTAGTTCTTGATTTCTGCTAGTGTGCCTTGGGGACAGCCTATATAACTCTGACCTCTATTCAGTGGCCAGTCTGGTCTGGAACAGGCTTGATAAGCTTGCATTCACTTGCATCATTTTCATTCTGAGCCAGCAGGACATTGGGTAGACTTTAAAGCCCAAGAAATGACACTTGCTTTGGCTAGTGACATTTGATTTTTGTCTTCATCTTTATCTTGTGGTATTGTTGGCCAAATCACATTAAGATTTTTTGAACATCCAGAAAAATACCAGACAAGGCATTAAGGAGGGTAGATAAAGTAAGGGAGAGGGTGGGGGGAGGAGTTCTTATGTAGTATAGTCAGAATGTGAAATTTACTATTTGGTCATAGTGATTCAGTCCTTTGGAACCTTAGAAGGCTCCTGTGGGCACATCAGTGTTACCCTTTCAGCCTCTTATAACCCCCTGGACCTCCCCCTTGAAATGAAAATACAAGCAGACCACAGTTTAAAGTAGTTAGTATAATTCTACTAAGGCTAAATAATTATACTTGTTTACTTCCTGATGCATATTTCCTAAATATGCTGGGGAGGAATTTGGGGGGGGGTGTTCATTTTCAGTGTTACCATTGTGTGTCATCCTATATTTTTCTCCCTTCTGTAACTTTGGCATCTTCTTTTATTTGATTCCCCATTTTCTTTTCTCTTGACTTTATTGCAGTAGCCTGCTGATGCAGGTAGAGAGAGCTCAGTGCCCCCGTACCCCTGTTAACTGCTAATTATTTTCAGTATTGCCAGAGGACAATTTGATGTTCTAAGAAGATAACTTCACTTTTTACAAAATCATCTTTTCCAAGTTAAAAGCAAAATAGAATACCCCCTGTGCTAGGGTCCCCATTTCAGTTTTTGATATTGCCCTTGTCCTTTTATAGATACTCTTTTTGTCTGTGTTGGTAGTAACCAATGACTAGTGAATGTTCATGTAAATGAAACAAATACTACTTCGGATTTTATTAATCTCTCATAACCCTGCCAAATCTGATGATATAATTTTAGTTATTTCCCAAAAGACATTTCCCCATACACACACACCTTTTATTTTATTCCCTTCTATTTTTAGAGTAACATACTAGGTAAAGAGACTTTACCTAACTACTGCAAGAAGTTAATGGTTTTTAGTGCTCACTGATAAACAATGTTATTGACAAAAGAAAGTCTTTCATTGTTTTTTTTCCTGTGTTAATTCTGTGCTCTTGACAGTGTATTTAGTGGATGGATAATATGTATTTCTCTTTCTCACTCCCAGATTCCAAATTCCCTGCCTTTTTGGCCCACCTCACTGTAAAAGCTCCATAGTTTATTAATGTAAGTTTGAATGGATGCTTCCTGGGGGAAACTGCTGGATTTAATGAAAGTGCTTTGGAAAGGAATGAGAATGTCTCTGGAGTTGTTCTGTGAAGGAAATTGGTCTGTTGTTCTGTTAATGCTGATGGAAAGAAACTTACAGCACTTAATAAAACTCTATTCTTTTAATAAAAAAAAACCTGTGAAATAATTTTGGTTGTGTGAAGTTTTAATTTCTTCTACTTCTGGATGCCTTTCTGCAAATGGGGGATATACTTGTCTCAATTTGGAAGTATTGTACAAAAAATTTAGGAGACTATTTGCAGTTGAATATAAGGACAAATGAACCAGTAAGAATCATCAAAGGAAGGGTATACTTAGTTTCCTGCTAAATTTTACTTCGTTTTTTTTTTTTCTAGATATCTCTTTTAATCACATCCAATCATATCATAAAGTGAAAGGCCCAGCAGTTGCTTTATGCTAAAACGTACAAAGGTTAAGTTCAAGTTCTCAGTGCCAAAGCTAGTGCTTTAGTGCTTGGCCTTGGAGTCAGCAAAAGTTAAAATAGCTTCCTTACTGTTCAAAATACCTGTATCATTTTTCTTACAGCTAGTGAGCAAGCCAGGGGGTTGTGGTCAGGACAACAGATAGATTTCTAGGAATGAACCAACATGGTGCCATTCTCTGATAAGAAACTTAAGAGTTTCTCCTACATTGCTAAATAGACCTGGAGTCCAGCCCTATCTAGTGTTCAGATGAGAACTGGTGTGCATTGTCAGTGTCTGAACAAATTTTATAAGATGTTTGGACTTTAAATTTTAGGAAAATTTGGACTTAATCTGTTGGGTTGGCCTACTAGAAGAACTCTGGCTGTCCATGAAATGTCAGGAAAAGATACAAAGAGAATCTTCGTATTCCCTCCTAGAAAACACACATATATAACGCCACACCCAATGCAAAAAACATATCTACGACTCATGTAATCCCAACTAGCCTACTTTAAATTCATGAATCTGTTTGTCTTGGTTTTATACTTTTTTCTACATCACCTCCTTCTTTAATACTTTCTTCCCCTCCTCCTTTTTAAAAATATTTATTTATGCATACAAAAGCTGGGGTATAGGCCAGAGGTGTGGGGGGCCAATATCTGTCATTCTGACTTGCTTTGCTACACATAATCTGCTCAGATTCCTACTTTGCTGTGACTGGTAACATTTCATCATCTTTTATGGCTAAATAGTATTCCATTGTGTGACTCTTAATCTGATCCTCTTATTAGCTGGCATTTAAGTTGCTTCTAAATGCTGGATCATATGGTATATCCATTTTAAAATTTATGTATATTTTACATCTTTTCATTTTTTAACAATGTTTGTTTTCTTTTCTCAGGTGTAGTTACCATAAAATCCACCACCAATTCACCCCATGCATCATCACCATGGTCCCCTGTGCTTTCCCCTTATTCTGATCCCTCTTCCTCCCACCCCCACAGAATGTCTCTAGTTTATAGTTGTCTGTTTATTTCTGTTTTGTTGTGTTTTCTTGTTATTATTTTTTCCTTCTGACTTACTTCACTGAGTATAATTCCTTCTAGCTCCATCCATGTTGCTACAAATGGCATTAGTTTATCTCTTTTGATTGCCTAGTAGTCCATTGTGTGTGTGTGTACATACCACATTTTCTTGATCCAGTCATTTATTTATTTTTTTTTAAGATTTATTTATTTGTACATACAGAACTGGGGTACAGGCCAGAGGCTCAGGGGCGGTGAGAGGCTTCACCAGAGACAGAGTGGGGAACAGAACAGGCAGATGGACGAAGTACACTGCTGAGGGGAGCAGCGGGCGGGTCAGGAGAGGTCTGCCACGCCATGTGGTCTCCTCCGGGGCAGGCGGGAATCGAACTCATGTGGAAGTGGCTTTAGCTTCTCAGTGCAGTGCTTTAACCCGCTGCGCCACCAGGGAGGGCCCCCAGTCATTTATTTTTACGTATTTGGGTTTCTGGGTTTTACATATTGCAGTGCTGCAATAAACATAGGGATATAGTTATACTTTTTTTTTAATTTATTGATTTATGCACACAAGAACTGTGGTACAGGCCAGAGGTGCAGGGGGTGAGAGGATTCACCAGACACAGAGTGGGGAGTAGCACAAGTGGATCTACTGAAACACTACTGAGGGGAGCAGCAGATGGGTCAAGAAAGGTCTGCCATGCCATGTGGGGCATCTCCCTGGCCAGGGATCAAACTCATGCTGCAGGGGCTATGAATAGCTTCTTAGTGCTGTGCTTTATCCCGTAACACCACCAGGGAGGGCCCCAGGTATTTTTTTGAATCTTTTGTGTCTTTTGGGTAGATCCCTAGAAGTGGGATTGCTGGGTCATATGATAGCTCCATTTTTAGAAGTGTGAGGAACCTACATACAGCTTTTCATAATGGTTCGACCAATTTGCTTTCCCTCCAGCAGTATAGGAAAGTTCCTTTTTCACCACATCCTCTCCAGCATTTTTTGTTGCTAGTATTTTTTTTAAGGTTTATCTATGCATACAGAACTGGGGTCTAGGTCAGAAGTGCAGGGTCAGTGAAAGGATTCATCAGAGACATAGTGGGGAGCAGAGCAGCCTACTGACGAAGTACACTGCTCAGGGGAGCAGTGAGTGAGTGGTGGGTCAGGAGAGGTCTGCCACACCATGTGGGTCACAACCCACTGTGCCACCAGGGAGGACCCTTGTTGCTAGTTTTTTTAATATGTGCCAGTCTTACTGCTGTTAGTATCTCATTGTGGTTTTGAAATGCATTTCCATGATTATAAGAGATCTTGAACACTTTTCATATGCCTGTTGGCCATATGCATTTCCTCTTAGAGAAGTGTCTTTTTTTTTTTTTTAAGATTTACTTATTTGTGCATACAGAACTGGGGTACAGGCCAGAGGCTCAGGGGTGGTGAGAGGCTTCACCAGAGACAGAGTGGGGAGCAGAACAGGCAGATCTACGAAGTACACTGCTGAGGGGAGCAGTGGGCGGGCCAGGAGAGGTCTGCCACGCCATGTGGTTACCTCCGGGGCAGGCGGGAATTGAACTCATATGGAAGTGGCTTCAGAT